TTTTTAAGTACTTAAAAGAAATATTGGAAGATTTATTTATATAAAGTTATTTTATAAGTACTTCAAAATTTAGTGTATATTGATATTTACTAAACTTAATATGGTAAAAGTTAAAATGTCAGATAATGAGTGATAAGATTGTATTGTGCCAATCTTCCATGCCTGCTTTGAAAATCAGCATTCCAAAATCTTGTTTTTTCTGTCTGAATTTTTGTGATGAGTAAACCTTATTTAATTTTAAACTAATGTCCTCATCTTTGTCACTATCATCACAATGCTTGTGTATTTTGGCCTTTTTATGATGCTTGTTGTCAATTCAATCAAATGGAAATTCAAAGTGAACTCTTTATTTAATCTACAGTGGGTATATCCCAAGATATAATCAGTGGAATGACAAAAATCTAGCCCCATAGATTAAATAAAGAATTAAGTTTGAAATTCCTTGAAAGTTATTCAAATCAATGACAAATACATGTTGTTTTTTTTTTTTTTACCTGAGCTCAATATCTGCCACTGTTGAGAAATACCAAACTGAACATTTAATGCATCTCTTTTTGTTTAGTAAATTTGATTTGAAATTAAGATGAACTAATATAAAACAAACCAACTATTAATAATTTTGATAAATTTTTTGGTAAAAGTTTGTGACTGGTTCATAAACTGACTTTATGATGTAGTAAAAAAAACAAAGGGAGTCAACAAATAAGGCTGTCTTATGCAGTGACTGCTGCTTATAACAATCCTCATATATAATACACAACACGCACACACATATATATATGTAAAGGAATACATTTCTATCCATAGTTTGACATTATTATGACCCTATATGTTATATTTAGTGGGTATTGTGTCTGAGTATATCTCTCTGTTTTTCAAACAGAATATCTTTGTCTACCTTCCAGGGTTTTTGAAAGTCTCTAATAAAGAAAATGCACACTTTGACTTGATTCAAACCTGCAGCCTCCTATTTTCCACAAAATTTATTTCAAGAGAATGATTATATGAATTTCAGCTAACAGCAGCACTGACTGTTTTGTCAATGAATGCCAAATGTTTCTTTATAAGGAAACAGTTAATATTACCATTACCATCAAGCAGATGAAACCATTGCTTAGCCCAGCATGGTTTTAGGCCAACTCATCAATAAAGGATTTCATGGCAATGCAAAGTTGAATTATCCTGATTAAGGAAATCACATCTTTCATCAAGATCTTTCAAAGCCCATATCTCCTAACTATACATATATATATATATATATATATATATATATGAAGAAATATAGTTTTAAGATATGTCATATTTATGGGATAAAGTGCTCAATATCAGTGTTAGCGTCAATGTTCACTTTTATATATATATATATATATATATATATATATATATATATATATATATATATATATATGCAATTGTATCAAAAATAATTTTACAAGATTTTGTCGATGGCTTCCTCCGTCAAAACAAGGACAAAAAGTTGATATAAATATATGTTTACAAACCCTTCATTTTTGAGTTTAATAAGTTTAAAGTGTACGGGAGACACTTAATTGTACAATCCAAGATACAATCCAAAAATACTTATTACCCTAGTTTGTAGTACCATGGATCCTGGCTCAGCAATGTGATGATAAAGACAAACAAAAGTTGGATGACGCGGCTGCATTTGGTCTGGAAATGCAATATGATACAGTTGTGCAGCCTCACGTCCATTACCATTCGCCCAGCCGTATGTAAAAATCATATCTGCCAGCTCACAATATGACTATCCTGCCATTGTTAAAAGGATCACTACTAAACATATTAAACGTTGAAAACAATCTAGCCACAAATGTACATGAATAACAAATGTAACCTAGTCTACATGACAACACAGCACCATCTACCATAAAATTTCTTTAAACTTACCAAGTCAAAAATGAAGGATTTTCAGACATATATTTATATGAACTTTTGTCCTTGTTTAGTGCAAGAAACCCACCCCCAAAGTTTGTAAAAGTATTTTTGATACACCCTGTATATCTCTATCTATAAAAGGCAGGATGTGTGTGTGTGTGTAACAAATGCATGGCTGCAATTTTCGATGGATTTACCCCAAAATTTACATGCACATGCTCCAAGTTAGCGGGAAGGCCAAGACCAACTTTGCATTTCCCAACTCCCATGAATAGTGGAAATAATCGATTTTTTCATGTTTCTTCAGCAGTTTTCATGTAGTTTGCGGCCATTTTCTACTGGCCAAAGTGAGAGCCTATAGCTGGCTGCCACGAATAGGCAGGAAGATTCTATTGGCCAGCTTGAGAGCCAACAGCTGACTGACATGAATGTTAACTAGCATTGATAGCTGCATTCGTCACAAGTGGGAAAAATTTAAATCTGCATGGCACTCCAATTGGCTCATTCGTTTGCTTAAACTCAACATTGATTCTGATTCTGTAGAACTGGGTTGGGTGTGAAAAAGTATTTGTTGTTAACATTCTTTTTTCATTCAATTTTTTCAGTTACGAGTCCTTTTTTAAAGCTGATCGTTTTGTGTTCATTTTGTTTAGTTCTTTTTTTTTAATGTTTAGTATAGAGTTTAGAAAAAATTTGCAGTGTGAGATAGGCAAGAAGTAAGGCATGTAGCAACATCAGCACAGCAATGGGCACTCCTTTAAAGGCAAGGAAGGGCAAAAATATTTTAAGTCAAGTGATAGCGATTGCTGTATGAGTCGTACGATTTTTGAATCAAGCACGGGCAATGCCGGGTCATGTTGCTAGTGTATGTATGTATATATGTATGTATGTGTGTGTGTATGCATATATTCTGTGTGTAACAGGTACTACACTGTGATTTGAGGCAGAAGTGGTTAAGAGTGACACATTGATTTTGAGCAGAGCACACAGATTTGGTGTCAAGTTATATATAAATAAAACTCCCTTTTTTTAAGGGTACTATGCTAGTTTTATTTACTCAGTATCACCCCATGCAAAGCAGTAAAGCCACTAGGACACAAGGGGTTACAGGGTGTGGAAGAATTATGAAAAGAAACATTAATAATAAGAAGAGAAAAGAGTAATCAGGAGATAGCCATTGACATTGCATTTAAATTTTTGTAGATTAAACTTGGTTGGAAAGCATGGAGATAAAAGGGAGTTTAACAAGTGAGAATTGCAAGAAAAGAAACTGTTTGCTACAGCCAGCTCAACTGTAAATTGATGACATCTAGAACACAGTTTAGTAGTGTGCTTAAATTCAAAAAGCCTACATCCCATAGGTACTCATCCGAACTATACATATATTTTTATTGTTTCCTGATCAATGTCAATCCTCTCTTTTCAGATTTTCAAATCACAGTATAAGCATTTAGAAACAAAACTTGCCCCCCACCCCAAAAAACAACAAATTTCAGGTAAAACCTTAAGTTCTGTGGCTAAATCATTAAATTCCATTTTTAAGCAACAAGGTTAATTTTTATTCATTCTTAGCCTTTTTGAGCAACCTCCACCTGAAGGTGCAGGTTGCTCAAGAACAATACTCATCAGCAATAGGCTTTTAGAGGCTTGTTGCCAAGTGGGAGCTGGGAGCAGCAACACCCCAAAATCATTTGCCCCACCTTCAGGGAAAATGATATAAATTAATTTTAGTACATAATTTTTTAGTCATTTACATCTGACATAAAGTCCTCTGGAGTCAAGACACTCTTGCGACAGGCTGTTATAAATACATCCTTGAGGGATGCTATAATGTGCACTTTCTACCTATCTGACACTTCTGTAGCTGTTGTTTTGCATAGGCATTTGAATAAAATATAAGTATTTAATGATCCACTTTTTAATAATATTTTTGGTATATCTGTGTACATGCTTAATATAGAAATCTGCTGACTTTCTTTATATACCTTTGGTATCTGCTATGTCACCAAATATGTAAGGTTCAGAACGAATGAAAGGTTTGATGTATTTAATAAATCCTACCTGTGATATCGTCAGCTGCATAAACATTTGCTTGAAATAGAAAAGCAAGAAATAAAAGAAAAATATGTTATGGAATAACATTGTTCTACAAAATGTTCCTATCTTTGTGATCATCTCGGTCAGCAAGTATTTGTGGTGATCAATGAAGGAAAGAAAAGTATAGAAGATGTTGAAATTATTCCACATTCTATGAAAATTAAGACAAAACATAAACAAATAATTAGAAAAAAAAGACAGAATGGTGTCAAAAATGTAAAGAACATAACAGATGAGGATAAAACATAAAATATTTGTTCTAAATTTTTCCTCTTCTTATTTTTCTCCCTCACCTTAAAATCTCTTTTCAATCAAGATTTTTCCACAATAAAATTCATTACAGAATCACTTTGTTTATAACTGTTTTAAAACCTTCTTTGCAGTCCACAGCCATGTTCTTTCTTGTTCTCTCACAACCTCGCCAGGAGGAGAGAGGGGATAAAAATAAAGACTATGAGTGAAAATAAATATGAAAACAAATAAGAAAAAATAAAAGAAACCCGTAAAATAACAACAAATAAAAGCAGCAAGATATCTTGAATGAAAAATAATTAGTTGGCATAAAGAGACCGATATCACTTTTACAAGTTATTGCAACGTTGTTAGTTGGCAGTGTGCAAAAAGAATCAATAATACTCCTTTTGGTGTAGAATTATTCTCATTCCGCCTTCTTCCCCCAATATGGCCACCATAACCATCAGTGTGCAAGAAGCTTGGTAATGACGCGATGAATGGCAAACAAATTGAAGGGAATTAAAGGACACCCATCGCAGCATCTTCATTCCATGAAATGTTTTTGTTAGCATTGGTTTTAACTCCTTTTACAGGCTGACTTTTAATCAACTAACTACTTCCCTCCTCCTTTTTTGGTGTTGGGGGGGGGCGTCATTCTCTTATGTTTTGTTTTATGCTTACTTTTTTTTAGCTTATGTCTTAACGAAAAGCTGAGAACACAGATAAGGGTTAAAGGGAAGTGAAGGATCAAGATAGAAGAATTATTGTTTATTTTACAAAAATGGAGGAGGTGGTGGCAGATTAAAGACATTGGCAATGGACTGGTGTGAGAAGAAGAAGATGGAGTAAAGGAGATAAGAGTGTTCTAAAGAGCAGCAAAATGGTTGTGGTGGGGGAGAATGGAAAGAAAAAAGATGAAAGAGAACTGCTGAATGAAAAGAAAAGAAAAAAGAAGATAAAGAAATATAAGGTGTGCCGGGGTGGGGGTGGTGAATTGGTGTAAATTGAGGTGGGGAAGAAAAAATTGGATGAGAGAAATAAAGAAAAGAGCAGATGAAAAAGATGTCGAAGGGTGAGGAGCTAACCTCCACAAAAGAAAAAAAAAATGAAAATATGTTTTAAATCAGAAAAATGAGAATAACAGAAGAAAGAAACAGAGGAAAGTTAAAAATTATGAGAAATCGAGCAAGAAAATAAAGAGAAAAAAAAAAGTAAAGATGAATTCTGTAAGGATAAAAACAAAAAAGAAAGGAAATAAAAATGGAAGAAAAATAAAGAAAAACATTAAAATGAAAAAGTGAGAAGAAAAAAAAAGCAAATAGGCAAAGGAAAAGAGAAGAACTCAGATAAAGAAAATAAAAATGACACTAATAGTGAAAAAGGAAAAAAACAAAATTAAAGATAAGAGAAACAAAAAGAGAAACAAAATGGAGCCCATGTTTGTGGCGATGGGTGGCAGATCTTTATTAGAACAATGGCACTGAGTCAAAAATGTGGAAACCTTGAAGGAAATTGAAGAGGATGATCTATTTGCATAAAGGTTTATTCAACATTCTATCATTATAACATAAGTGCAACCACAAAACATATTCATATCAACTGACAAGTGCAGTCATGAAAGTGAAAATATAACAAATATATGTATAGAGGATTTACATATATCATATGTTCATTACATGTACTGAAATTATATATATATATATATATATATATATATATATATATATTAAAAATGACTGACAAGGTACTTCTGTGAGCAAACAAGAGATTTCTTGTGTGTAGAAATTGTCAAAATGATTTCTTGTTCTGGAATGAACAATCATTTGAGTAGTTTCTTCAAACACTCAGTCCAAAAAAGATTTCTTTATTGCACACAAAACACTTGTCAGTCCTTTTTTTATATATATATATATATATATATATATATATATATATATTTGTATATATATGTATATATATGTAGGTATAAATGTGGATATAAACCAAATAATTAGATATTAGCAAATCTATATACATGTGTTAGCCTGCATACACAGAAAAGCGAATAAATATTTACTTAATTTAATATAAAGTGTACACAAAACAGTACTCAATATGATTAGACAAAGTTAAGAAGTTTATATTAATATATACAGATACCTACGTTCATATTGCAACTTAAAGTTTCATGGTTTTATCAACTCATCAGACACAAACTGGTGAATGAAGGCCTATTATGGTTGTTTTCAAAAATAATGGGTCTCATATATATATATATATATATATATATATATATATATATATATATATATATATATATATTGTAAAAGCTCTTTATTTTTTAATGTATATATATATATATATATATATATATATATATATATATATATATATATTAAAGCTCTTTATTTTAATGTATATATATATATATATATATATTGTAAATTCTTTATTTTTAATGTATATATATATATATATATATATATTGTAAAGCTCTTCATTTTAATGTATATATATATATATATTTTAATGTATATATATATATATATATATATATATTATTATAAAAGCTCTTTATTTTAATGTATATATATATATATATATATATATATATATATATATATATATATATATATGAAGCAGCAATACACTGTCTGTGGATGACAATATATATATATATACATCCTACTGAAAAAAATTATTTTGGTTGAGCTCTTTAGGGAGAAAAGTGAATTTGTAAACAGTGACTAGTACTGCTGCTGATGCAAGACTCTTCCATAAGATAAATTGAGTTTCCTGCTCACTGTATGTTTGTCTAAAAATAAATACATCTAAATTCACCTTCATCATTACCATATGCCAATGGCTTAGGGGTAAAATCTCTGACTGATACCAAATCAGTCGGGTTTCGATCCTGGCTCAAGGCAGTCAGATGTCTAGCCACACTGATGAGATGTGAAACAGTCTGTCTGTGGATGATAGTATATATATATATATATATATATATATATGTATTGCAAAACTCTTTGTAGACAAGCAATCAAAGCTTGCAGGATTAGACAGTGTTTTCTCCCACAAAGAAGACAAGTTTTGTTGCATGTGCAGGCTGATAGATGAAATAAACAATGCTTAAATTAAATGAAGCATTTACTCAGCTATGGATATCCACTAAAAATAACATCTGCAGTAATAAAAATATGTTGGTTTAAAAAAATAAAATAGACAAAATGTTTAAAACTAACGCAGTGTTTACTCAAATATGTGTACCCACGAAAGATAATGTTTGAAGTAATATATATATGTGTGTGTGTGTGTGTGTGTATTGATGTAATAGGAAAGAACAGTTAGATCAATGATCCAAAGCTCTTTAGTATTTATGCTTTTATTTTAAAAAAAAACAATGCCCGATACAGAAGTAGAGCTTAAATTATGATTTTATAGTAATTTTTGTGTCGCAAAGGAATCATATTTAAAAAATAATTATATATATATATATATATATATATATATATATATATATATATATATATATATATATATATATATATATATATATATATGAATAAAATATATATATATATATATATATATAATATATATATATATATATATATATATATGTATGAATAAAATATATAAATATATACATATATATATATGAATAAACTATAAATAAATATATATGAATAAAATATGAATAAATATATATATATATATATATATGAATATAATGTATATATATATATATATATATATATATGAATATATATATATATATATATATATATGAATAAATGTATACATATGAATATATATATATATATATATATATATATATATATATATATATATATATATATATATATGAATAAATGTATACATATGAATATATATATATATATATATATATATGAATATATATATATATATATATATATATGAATAAATGAATATATGAATATATATATATATATATATATATATAAATATATATATATATATATATATATATATGAATAAATGTATACATATGAATATATATATATATATATATATATATTATATATATGAATAACTTCCTGAAAATCGTGCCATGGGCAGGAAGTCAAAAATCATTGAGTTTGAAGGTTTGAATATACTGGCCTTGTTCAAATTTGATCAAGAATATGCATTCACTGCCAGAAACTGTAAATAGGGTTTGCTCAGTATAGTCGTAGTATGAATAACAGATTATTTCTGTGGGAGTTAACAATACATAAATTTGTCTGAGTGGCTGTCTGCAACAAGGATTAGCTAGCTACTCTAGTAATAGGTGTATAGATAAATGACCATCATCTATATTAGATCATTGCAGAAATTTGTAATGATCCTATATATATACATATATTAGTAAAATTATTGACAAAGTAGAAAAATTTTTTCCTGTGACGCATTTTGTCCTTTAGGATTTCATCAGACTAAAGTAATGATTATATTGATATAACTATATATATATATATATATATATATATATATATGTGTGTGTGTGTGTGTGTGTGTGTGTGATAAAAATTATTAGGAGGATTTGAAATAATTATGATAAAGTAATTCATCGAGTTTAGAAGAAACCTCAGCAGAATGCCGAAAGCACTAGACAGCCGCTTCATCCTATATTTGGGACTCATCAGCAGTGTGCATCCACTACCGAGAATTGAAACCTCGACAGTTACATTATCAGGCAAATCTACTATTTGTACCAACGGGCCTCAGTGATGAAGAGGTAGCAAATTAGACTCAATATAGTGCTGCTCGTTCACATATTCCGTGGTGGAACTCATCCGAGTTTCCCTTACCCATAGGACTGTGCCCCCATGAGCCATGACTACAATCCCCTAGCTGCTCCATCCAGAGCATTAGAAGCTGATTCAAGCAAGGATATACAAGTGATAGAAATTATTAGGAGGATCTGAGATAATTATAATTAAGGATTATTTCAAATCCTCCTAATAATTTCTATCACTTGTGGTTGTATATCCTTGCTTGAACAGGCTTCTAATGTTCCCATACATATATACACCCTTGTGCAAATTAATTGAAACAAAACGAATAATTCCATTATTATTTACTTTTTTTCGTATTTTTCCAATGAAACATGATGCAGTGCACATGTTAGTACTTTGTATGCCCATTCCACAAAGTCGTTTCTTGCAGACTGACCAAAGATTCTCAAATAGATTTAAATCAGGAGAGTTTCCAGGCTAGTCTATAGTACTTTGATTTGCTCACTGGTAAGGCTTGCCAGTGTGTTTGTGCAGTGTTACAATTTTCATAGTCTTCCTTGGAGTAATGTCCATCACAGATAATAGCCATAGGACAACTAATTGATAGTCAAGACAATAGTGTCTGGGCATGATGAAAATCTGATGCAATCACGGATAATGCAAAATTTGTCAAGGCCAAACAAATTTCATCATATACCATGAAAATAAATTAATATACTGCACACCATTGCAAATGATCTAATCAGAGGAAAAAATAGAAATCGATCACATCTTGTCACTCCAGTGGGTCTAAAACTTACTGTATGGTGAAAGAAAGGAAATTAAAGTGGTTGTTTCAATTAATTTGCACATCGGTGTATATATATATATATATATATATATATATAAATGAATAAAGTATATTTATGCAGCAAGTATTCATGCAAACAATTTTGATTAAAAAGTACTGACAAATTCTGTCTGTTTATCTTTTTCATTTTAAATTTTAAAAATTGAATAGACAGACCTTGTTGGTTCTTTTTAATGAAACTTATTTGTGTGTACACACACACAATATATATATATATATATATATATATATATATATATATATATATATATATATATATATATATATATGGGTAAAAATGTATGGTGAAGTGGGAAAAGTTTTCTTGTGACACATTTTGTCCTTTAAGACTTAAACTAAATTCAGTGCACTGACGTCCTAAAGGACAAAACATGTCACAAGAAAACTTTTTCCACTGTCATTTATTATTTTTCCCAATATTGTTCTTGATACATAAAAAAATATATGCACACACATACACACACATATATTTACACACAAGGTGCAGCAGAAATATCTCCTACATATACTTTCCACGTAAGGATAAGATATTAATGGCAATGCTGTCTTTATCTAGCTTATGTCTTATTATGTGGAAGATATATCTACTGCACTTTCTCTCTCTCTCTCTATATATATATTTGTGTGTGTGTACATTTCCTCTAGTAGGACTTATTGATGTCTAGGCCAGAAGACATTAATTTCACCATTAAAAAAAGAATATATCTACTCAAAAATGTATACCCACTGAATATAACATTTATGGTATTAAGAATTAATCCATTAACTGCTTAAAAATCAGTTCACTTATATAAAGTCTATTCTGAATGAAAATTATATGAACATCAGTTAGTTAATACTAGTTTTATT